CCCCCCCCCGGTACACGCACAAAATGCGAGATAGACGAGAAACGATGAATTCTGTTAAATGTGCACGCTGTTGATGTGAGCGCGAATGCGTTATTAACGCGATCGTTCGGTCATTACATGTGCTCCGCAAAATTATATTTAAGCGAAATATATTGGTAGATTTGTGCCTGGAATATATCCTGTGAACTTGAAAAATTCGTCTTTGGCGTAAGAGATCTGGATCAAATATATAGGGTGTCTATTATATTTAGAAAAATATGAAAACCCTGGAATTCTCAGGGATTTCTTTTATACACAGAAAAATCAGGGAATTCTCATGGAATTTTATTGGGATTCAGAGAATTTTTTTAAAAAATCTTCTATTTTATAATTTTGCTCTTATATTGTAGACAGTTGGCGAGCCAAATAAATTATGTGTTTAAAATATATTATAGATATATATTTATATGTTTGTTTATATAAATGTTATATAAATATCAATGTCTTAATAAAATATTGAATACGCAATACATACTCTTTATTATAATTTTTAGTGACAAAAAAATGAAAATTTTATATGCAAGTGAAAAATGCTTATCTGACGAAAGTTACCCAATTTTTTTTCAGTACATTTACAAATTGCACTTGAAACTCAAGAGACTTTCTGTTTTTCCTTCGTATACATGAAAAAACATTAGAAAATATAATAAAAAAATTATTTTAAAAATAATAAAAAAATAATAAGAAAATTTATTCCAGAAAGTTGCATCAAAAAATCTTTAAAATATGTTTTTTATTTGGAATTTTGAACAAAAATACCTGGAAAATCAAGGAATTTTCAGGGAATTGTTTTACAAGATTTGAGTAGACACTCATTAACACCGATCGTCTCGTATGAATTTGATTAAGCACCGCAATTACGTCACGGCGTTAATAAATTCGTTATATCCGACTGCCAACTTGTGCGGCAAGTCAGCGAAGATCTGTTAACTTTTACTGCCATTGGTAAGAAATTTTACGAGTCTTCCTCGCGCCTCGACGCTGCCGCCCGCTTGTCGGACACGTACGGTGCGTTGCACATCTGGATGTGACAGGTGAACAGGGAAAAACGTGACTTGCCGTTAAGTAATGTATTATGGCACGCGCAGGTGGCATTCCATGGATCGACGATGTAGAGTCAATGCCTCTTCCAGCTTCTACTCCTACTCTCCTCTCCCTCCGATCGGGCATGAACAAAGAACCGACGTGCGCTATTTTTTCCGTACCTAGAGATAGATACTCCTATTCTTGTACGATAAATTGAAGATGTATGTCCGATATAATTGCGACATTAACTCCAACTTTGCGCTAACTCGAGCGTGTCGTTAGAAAGAACACGAATGCGCCATTACCCGTTAAAATTAGAGCAAATTGAAGTTTTCATTGTCTCCAATATTCCGGATAAATAGTAACGGCAGGGAGAAAATTTCTACGCGTTTGAAACTACGAAGATCCACAGGCGTCTTTGTGCAGGGGAGCTAAACTAAATACGAAGTCTTAAAGAGACTAAATTCAGAATACGGAAACTTAGAGATCAGGGAAAGAAGAATCAAAGGCACAAATTTTCGTCGAGCTTTGGAGAATACAATTTCGTAGGAGCAGAGATCGGAATATCCGAGAGAGAAAACTATTTTCTCAGACACACAACTCTGTGCGAGTTAGCGAATTTAACGAATAAGTAACT